AGGGCATGTAAAAATAGTTCACATCAGTTCTTGTCACCTGAATAAGCCCTTATTTTTATCAGATCCTCATCAAATTTGTTTTAAGGTTTCAACCTCATCAAGACTCGGATAGATAAATATCGATAATCTGAAAAATCTGAAAGGGGGACCACTTCAGGGAGGGACTTGAAAACTATCCCATATACATTATTCAGTATAGCCGGGATAGTGCCTTATATTTATCAGATGCTCTTCATAGAGGTAGGGCAAACTTCCCCTGAATTTATTTTCCTTGTATGGTCATAATCCGAAAGTTGTTAAAACATACCGGAATTTAAATATAAAAGGGTCTAAATACGGCATTTTAAACATTTAACAACAATTTAACCAATATCCATTTATTCAAATTTTATAAACCGCTATACATTGCCGTTGTAGTCAGTTTTTATTCAATATCGCACGAAAAAACATCCTTAACCGACATGGATTAATTTGTATTTGAAAGACCAAGCATAATTATCTTTACTTCCAAAAGAACTTTGATGACAAATGTCCTTCTTATTAATTTTTGCGATATTTTTCAAAAGTTTTCTAAATCTGCTAAAATTTAAATTTAAATCATCTTTATGCATTTAAAAATTTATTAAATATTCTGAAATGCGGCATAATGTTGTTAGAATCCCAAAGCCTACCGGCATACACAAATGTTATACTGTGAAATTTAGTAAATATTGGAGGGCTCCCAATTTCCAAAAATGACCTTGCTGGGAAATAAATTTAAGAGAATATTTGCTTTACTATTTTATGAAATTTTCCATTCACAAAAATCTCAGATCAGTTTCATAATCAGAAAAAATCGGAAACGAGATATCACTTTCTAAAATCATTCCAATATTCATTCCAGAAAAAGAACTATGCGAGTAAGTCGCTATCATCTATGGTCTTTAAATGTGTGTGGGGAGGTGTATATTGGCAAACTTGCTAAACTTTTTTTTATTTAGATAAAACTTCAGTACCGTTATTTTTTTTTTTTATTTTCCGGCTTAAAGTCCGCAAAAGTAAGATATCTTGCTTTGACTCCATTGTACAAAAAAAAAATGTTTGGCATATTTTAGATATAGGGTGGTGATATTTTCCATATGCCTGAATTTTGCGAAAATTTCTCAATAGTTAAGTAGTTACTGCATCTCGGGTATTTTTCACCACATCTCCAAAACATGCTAAACGATACAGTCCCTATTTTTTTTTTATTACAACATCATTTGATGAGTTTTTGTTTTAGCTCAAAACAAATTGTTTAGAAACGAATTATAAATTTAATGAGAAATCCGCATAAAAAAAATAAGTAAATATATATAAAAATTGATTTAAAACAAATACATAAATATGCAACCAATTTACGTTAAGCCTAATTGATATATATAGTGATAAGAAACTATACCTTCATATTTTGAAATGAATATCTGTTGCTTTGGAAATGCATCAAGTAAACTTAGTTCCTTAATTACAAAACAAACGTTTGACAATTAATCAATAGAATTTACAAACAATTTTATAATTAAAAAAACAATAATTACCTATCTAGTATATCAACAAACAGATGGACGCGATTTCAAATTCTTTTTAAAGCACTGAATAGATTTTTGAGCCTTTAATAACAATACCATATCAACCTTTATACATCTGCCTTCAAAATATTCGAGATTGTTATCGGTAGTATATTGATACGGGCCAATATATATGCACCTCAAATATTTAAAATAATGATATGTTTTACAAGGTAATCAATATGTACTCAACAAGATAGTTTTTATCCTATGTAAACGACAACCGAGGCACGCAGTAATCATTTGAAGGACTGGTATTTTATTCACAAAAAATGAAATGGCAACTGGTTTTGAAACCCTCTTTTTTCTGTTTTGGTTTATTGCAAAATTTCTTATTGTTTTTACAACATTGATAGAAATAATTGATTGAAATGCCACTTATTGTGCATCGAAATCACACACTGCAGGGCGGATTCAGGGTCTGAGGAAAGGGGTGAAGCGTAATTGTCAAAACTGATGTTATTGTTTCAGATCAAAAGGGGGATATACTTCCTCTAATCCCTCTCCCTGAATTCGCCACTACATAGGAATATTGGGTCGATGCCACTCACCGCTAGTGCACTACAAATCATGAGGTAGTACAAGTCAGTGCTCTTGTACGGGGATGACTTCATTCGTCTATTGGTTAGTTTGTATCTCCACTTATAACAGTTAAAGTGACATCGGTACACCAACTGTAATTCTGGTTATTAACAAGAATGTGTCCATAGTATACGGATGCCTCACTCGCACTATCATTTTCTATGTTCAGTGGACCATGAAATTGGGATCAAAACTCTAATTTGGCATTAAAATTAGAAAGATTATATCATAGGGAACATGTGTACTAAGTTTCAAGTTGATTGGACTTCAAGTTCATCAAAAACTACCTTGACCAAAAATTTTAATCTGAAGCGGGACAGACGGACGAACGGACGCACAGACCGAAACACATAATGCTCCTAGGTGGGGCATATTAAAATCTTGGGGTTTGTTTTATTTTAAGTTTGTGTAATTTGAAGTCTTATAACTTTCCTTTGATTTTATTTATTTCAACTGCTATTACGGTTATTGATATGTTCATTCGATCATCGTTTGTATATGTCTTTTAAATTTTCTTTGTATTTATGTTTAGATAATAAAGCCTTTCACATTGTTATGTAAATTTTCTCAATGAATATCTAATTATTCCACTAGTGTAGCAGGGACTGTTTTACCTTCCTTCCAGAGCACCCACGTTCATCCTGCTTATTTTGTTTGGTTCGTGTTGTTCAATCTTAATTTTTCTGTTTAATGTTGTGGATTATTTTTAATTTGTGTTTCGTCGTTTTTCTTAATGTCGTCTCGTAGTCTGTTTTTCTTCGACCTACGAATTGTTACTGCCCCATAATATATTCTTTCCTTTTTACGGATAATTTATCTTTAATTTTTTGAAAATGAAATAACAGTTTATAATTGTATGCTTCCGAAGCGCTTTTCTGGATTTACCTTCACCAGGAACGCTCAAAGTCAAATTTTTTAAAACCAAGGATGTATTAATAATGAAACGCGTAAAGAGCTATATGCCCAAAAGGGACCTAAAATAATAGTAAAATCCATCTTACTTTGTTATCGTGAAACCTATATAAGCGAGGTTAAACAAGACCAATACCGGGTCTGGACCTCCGTCGCTGCATGCAATTGATTGGGGTAACATGTATACCGAAGCATAACTGATTATTCCCAGTCTAAATATTAAAATCTTTCACTTCAATAGGAGCCAAGAAAAGTTTTCTTTCGGACGGACTGAGTCGAGCGGTTACTAGACCTGCTTCCGCCTTGGGCACCAATACGGTACATAGACATAGTTCTTAAATAATGTTTGGATCGATGTTTTTTCAAGTATAATTTGTCTGTTCCTATAAAACAAGATATTTACGTTTTTCGTTTTATGATATAAAGTTGGAATGAAACTTTTACTCTTATTTAAGTTTATAATGAGGAATACGTTTATAAAGGGTTGACTCGGCGTAGTCAAATGTTTGGAATCTTCAATCTTTTGTGGAATACACAAATCTTTCTTTCTTTATCCTTTTTTTCTATTTTCTTGGTCAACAATTTAATGAGTCAGTTACCTCACTGCCTTACTTGAAGCTAAGCCACTGGAAAGAAGCTAAGTGTCTTGAGAAATAACGGGCCAATTCAATCGATAACAATTAAAAGTGGGATATTTTTACAAGCCTGCTGCTGAAAAATGGTCCACTATTTCGCCACTATTATTTGTATTGAACTTATAAGAGGATTTGATAAGTAGACAAAAACAGACCAAAACACAAAAACTTAACTATAACCACTGAACCATGAAAATGAGGTCAAGGTCAGATGACACCTGCCAGTTGGACATGTACACCTTACAGTCCTTCCATACACAGAAATGCTAGACCTATTGCTTCTTGTATCTGAGATATGGACTTGACCACCAAAACTTAACCTTGTTCACTGATCCATGAAATGAGGTCGAGGTCAAGTGAAAATTGTCTGACGGGCATGAGGACCTTGCAAGGTACGCACATACCAAATATAGTTATCCTATTACTCATTATAAGAGAGAAATTAACATTACAAAAAATCTTAACTTTTTTTTCAAGTAGTCACTGAACCATTAAAATGAGGTCATGGACAATGGACATGTGACAGACGGAAACTTCGTAACATAAGGCATCTATATACAAAGTATGAAGCACCCAGGTCTTCCACCTTCTAAAATACAAAGCTTTTAAGAAGTTAGCTAACGCCGCCGCCGCCGCCGGATCACTATCCCTATGTCGAGCTTTCTGCGACAAAAGTCGCAGGCTCGACAAAAACAGACCAAAACAGAAAAACTTAACTATAACCACTAAACCATGAAAATGAGGTCAAGGTCAGATGACACCTGCCAGTTGGACATGTACACCTTACAGTCCTTCCATACACCGAATATGCTAGACCTATTGCTTCTAGTATCTGAGATATGGACTTGACCACCAAAACTTAACCTTGTTCACTGATCCATGAAATGAGGTCGAGGTCAAGTGAAAATTGTCTGACGGGCATGAGGACCTTGCAAGGTACGCACATACCAAATATAGTTATCCTATTACTCATTATAAGAGAAAAATTAACATTACAAAAAATCTTAACTTTTTTTTCAAGTAGTCACTGAACCATTAAAATGAGGTCATGGACAATGGACATGTGACAGACGGAAACTTCGTAACATAAGGCATCTATATACAAAGTATGAAGCATCCAGGTCTTCCACCTTTTAAAATACAAAGCTTTTAAGACGTTAGCTAACGCCGCCGCCGCCGGATCACTATCCCTATGTCGAGCTTTCTGCGACGAAAGTCGCAGGCTCGACAAGAAAGTAAACCACGTGCTAGTTTGATCGCACAATCAGTGAGGTATCTTTGATGCTAATTTAGACTTATTTTTATTTTATTTACTGATGACAAAAATGTTTCTTTAATGTATAAGCACAATGTTAGAAAGGATTTTTATCCGCACTTAAATGATCTATAGAACCGAAACTAAAATTGTACATCGTATAGAGATACTTCATCGCCAGATTCTTGAGTCACCAGCAACTCGTTCCTGCTACTACTGAAATGTATACCTCTTGGTCCTGAACCAGTGAAACTGAGGACTATGATGCTCTCAGAACCATCTGGAGAGATGAGGAAAACATTTTTAGAACCTCTGTCTGCTACAAATATATAACCATTGAGAGTAGAGGTTATACCTAGAGGCTGGATAAGTTTCTCGTGTGTAAATTCCCACAGCTGTTTGCCCGTATAATCAAAAGAAATAACTGCTTTTTTGTTATAATCGGAGCAATATACACACGTGCTCGTTGCAGTTACATAGTATGAGTTTGTTTTCAAGCATAATTCGGAAACAACATCGCCTTGCATATCAAGCCAATGAATTGTTTTACTACCCGATGATGAAATTAGTTTGTCATTAATAAAATCAATTCCATAACTTTTAATTTTGATACTTTTCATCTGTTTGTTTGGTAATAGATCGACAAATGTTATTTCGCGGCCCCTAAAACTAACAACAGCAACGTCTTTATTTGGTAGGAAAACAATATCAGTTGGAGCTGTCTCAAATGTAACGAGATCTTGTACGTTACTCCCGTCACTCTTACAGGTAAGCAGCTTCTTAGAATTTAAATTAACAAAAAGAAAATCACCGTTTGGTTTGATTGCACAACCAGTAAGGTAAGCACTTTCAAGTTCCAACTTTGCTGTAAATCTCAGACTGATCTTTATTTTATCTACTGATGACGGTAACTTTACGTTCAACTGGGCCTGATCTTTCTTTAATGTGTTAAAACAATGTTTAAATTGTATTTTATCTACATTCAACTGCCCAAAAGACTTGAAGTGTACCATTAGATCATCGACGACTGATGTGTTAAGACTAAATTCAGTTTGCAGAAGGCTTTCCGAATCATTTAGGGAATTCAGATAGCTTTCATGTGCAGCAACCTCTTTTTCTGTTTCTATTAAACCAAAAAATGTTTGAAGGTTTGTTGTCAAGGTTTTCATCTTCATAATATTTACCTTTATTTCAATAATATTTTCTTTTCTAGAGTGCAATTCAGCCTTGATAGATTCGACGTGCTTAACAGTAGATTTTTTCTGTGAAAGTATTTCCTCTTCTAGCTTTTCTTCCAGTTTGTCAAAGTGGTCATTCAATTTTTTCCGTTTTTGTTTTATTTCCTCCAAACATTCGTTGGTCTTGCTGTCAATAGTTGCGAGATTTTTAGAAGTATGTTCGGTTAAAAAATCAATGTCTGATATCACATTTTCCAGTAATTGTTCGAGGACGGAAAATATAGATGTTTAATATCCTTTACTACTTCCTTCAGAGGTTCAAATTGGAGACACTCTTTATGTGTGTCGTTCATGCAGAATGCACACCATGGTGCATTGTGTGCCTTGCAGTAAAGTTCAAACGGAGAACCGTGATCATGGCATTGATGTTTTGTTGACAAAAGAAATGACGGCAAATGGAAGTAGTCCTCAATTTTGATAGTTTCATGGTGTTTGGACAACTTTGAAAAACCATGGTGTTTCTTGCAGATTGTACAATAAGCTTCGTCACACTCAGGACACCATACATCAGCAGGCTCATTCATATGCTCTTGTTCACAAATGCCACAAAATTTTGTATCATAATTTGCCATTTCAAATCTGAAGAAAAAAATATGTAACATTTAATGTGTTTCACTCGTTGTTCTATAATGAACATGACAGGTGTTCAGTGGTTGTCGTTTGTTGGTGTGGTTCATAAGTGTTTCTCGTTTTTTATAAAGATTAGACCGTTGGTTTTCCTGTTTGAATTGTTTTACACTAGGCTTTTTGGGACCCTTTATAGCTTGCTGTTCGGTGTGAGCCAAGGCTCCGTGTTGAAGGCCGTACATTAACCTATAATTGTTGACTTTTTACACATTGTGACTTGGATGGATAGTTGTCTCATTGGCACTCATATCATATCTTCTTTATATGACAGGTAAATCTCGAAAAAAAATCGTTACGGAGTCTATGGTTTAACGATTTTTGGCTAAGGCAAGTATAGGCAAGTCCCGATTATGAAAATAACACTATCTGACTTAATACAGCACAGTTAAATTTTCAGATCAAAACAAAATGAGAGAAATCAAATTGTTGTTCAGTTGCGGACAATTAGGTTTGTATTCTCTTTTATCTTTTTAATTTTGCCTTAAAAAACTTTTTTTCTCGTGCGTACCTGGTGAAGGTTAATCTAGAAACATGGATAATATCAGTGATTCGGATCTCACAATATAAATCTTAACTTGTGATTAAAACAATCAGTTTTCAAATTATGAAATCGTGCTAAATTTAAAGTGGCATCAGCCCTCCGCAAAAGTTTGGACGGTTTGGTTGTTCTGTTTTAACCCTTTAAACTTTGAAGGTTTTTAAAAAGTTTTAATCGTTCCTTTTCAGTGAGCTTGGTTATGTTCGATTTTTTTTTACAAAGTAAAAATCTCGAACGTACTTGATGCAGTTTATTACAAAAATATTGTCGTGTGCACTTAAAACAAACACATTTTACGTTTATTTACTACATGTACCTTTTTGGTCGGTCACACTGCTGCATGGAGGAATGCAGTTGCCGCGGTTACGACCCGCCAGTAGTTAGTACTTAGGCACTGGCATTGTTGAATGGTACATCTCGACTATAATTTTTCGGTTTAAAAATAACGACATTGCACTTAAACTAAACTAGTACCGCCCTCAAGCAATATCACTGTATCTAAACTACCCCGGCGAAAAATGTTTGGACTCAATAGTATTTAATGTCCGGTACGGTGACGGACAATCAACAGACAGAGAAATGTAGAAATTCTGTTAATTTATATGTTGTTTTAATGATATTGAAGAATATACATACACATATAACTATTTTCGATAGTGTGATGTAATATTTTCTACCACCGTTCTACATTTATGGAGAAATAAGTAAAAATGCACATCAAAATGGTGAATTGAGTGAACCCTGCCTCGAATTTGTTTAATTTCTCTTTAAATTGAGCACTTTGTACGGAAAGAAAGAAAGATATTAACACGGAGATTTCAAGACTTTTCACTATGATCGCCTCAACATTTGCATGTCTGTGCATGGAATGAAAGAAGTGGGTCATGTCAAAATTGAAGCACCCGGTTTTGTCAATGTGTACGACCCGGTTTTGTCCTTAAATTTCACAAAGCAGACCCGGTTTTGTCATAGAAAATAATGCATAATCGCATGACGAAAATTAAAATATGGCATTCAACAGCAGTTTGAGGGATCTTTGAAAAACATTTTCTTTCAGAGGATAACTTATAACCTTTTTGAATCCGTAAACACTTGAATTCCTGCTATATTAGAACAAAGCAAATTTCAATTTTGTTTTCTATAAAAAAAAAAAGGAAAAATTAAAAAGAAATGAAGGTTTTGAAACGGAATTAGATTTTTTTATATCATCTATGTAAATTTAAGTGTTCAAACTTAATTAGTGTACGGCCTTGAAAATTTAAGGACGCACATTTGATATGTGAAATTCTGGGACAACAAGATGGTTATCTTAGTGTTCCGCTCTACTTAAAAGGACGACAGTATAATCGTTTGAAAATAAATATTCTAAAACTAAACGTTCATTATAAAGCAAGAGAATAGGATAAATGTATGTGCATGCAGAATCGCCCAAGAAAAGGAATTTCCATGCGGCGCAAAGGATCACAATAATAGTGCATTAAAAATCTGTTTACCCCTCCTTGTTACAATAATACTAAGTATAAATTAGTATAAAAGTCTTAGGCCATCCGGAAATTGCAATAATGATTATTTGATTAGTAATTTTTATAAATAAACGATGTTTTATCTCTCTTTTTTTTTCTTTTTTTTTTTTAAACATTAACAAATTCTTTAATGCACTAGTATCAAGTTGTTAACAACTGCCCTATATAGTACAACTATTATATATAGGTTTATCTCTTCATTGTATAATGATTATCGTACATTGACAAATGTTCTACAATTTAAGCAATTTGTTCAAGTTTAAAATTGTCAATATGCAAGGGCGGACCGAGGCCATGATTTTTGAAAGGGGCGTATTCATAAACGGATTTTATACCATCGAGCGTAGCAAGGGGAAATTTTTTTTAACGATTTTATGCTAAATGAAAAATCATATATAAATCGTAAAAAACATGATAATTATTTCTAACCACTAAAAGGGGGGGGGGGTCGGCGTACTCCCTCTACTCCCCTGGATCCGCAACTGATATAATGTAACTATATCGTATACCATCATAAAATTTAATAAAAGACGAAAAAACAGAGACAGCCGCCAATCGCATATTTACTATAGGAGCTCTGTAATCAAATGAGTTAAGTCTTTTTCAACTCACTAAATTTTATAGTTTATTCATATGTTGTGCTGTTATACCACTTTTTTTTTTTTTTTTTTTTGGAGGGGGTGCGTTGGGGGTATGGGTGGGGGGCTTACACGTTCAACCTCGCCATTCTGTATGTACCAGTACCGAATTCAGGAGCCTGTAAATCGGTTGTTGTCTTTTGTTGCTATATATCATACATGTATTTGTTTTTCGTTTTTTATTTTGTACATAAATCTAGGTAGTTAGTTTCCACATTAGTTGTTTTTTTTTACAGTTTTACAGTTTTCATTTCGGGGCCTTTTTTAGCTTGCTATGCCGTATGGACGTTTCTCATTGTTGGATGCCATACGGTGTTCTATGTTTGTTAACTTTTACGTCATTTGGTCTCTGATGGAAAGCTGTCTCATTGTCATTTTTAATCGCCAAATAGGATGTTCTATGAAGACGAAGACGAATATATTGGACGTGATAATGTTGCAAACCAACTTTTATTTATAAAAAGAAATAATTCTTTCATGCCATGCTCAATGCTCATTTTAACAAAAATGATAATATACCAATTTCCTAGGGGTCCCGCTAAGATGTTTAATCCCGCCACATTCTGTATATATTTACCTGTCCCAAGCCAGGAGCCTGTATTTCAGTGGTTGTTGTTTGTTGCTGTGTTACATATTTGTTTTTCGTTCATTTTTTTGTACATAAATTAGACCGTTAGTTTCCTCGTTTGAATTGTTTTACACTTGTCATTTCGGGGCCTTTTATAGCTGACTATGTTGTATGAGCTTTGTTCATTGTTGAAGGCCGTATGGCGACCTAAAGTTGTTAATTTCTGTGTCATTTGATCTCTTGTGACGAGCTGTCTCATTGGCAATCACACCACATCTTCTTTTTTCTATCATAAGGAATTAATGTAAGAACATGATATAAAGTATTTATTTCCATTTAAACTTAGTTCGAAGATAAGATCAATAAGGTATACGTTTTAAGCATTCAAAAATGTCTACTCCCTATTTCGAAAAGTTCCCGTTTGAAATATATTTTAACACATGTTTGTATTGCAATAACATCTTTATGACATCTTTTTGACTCAAATATCTAATTTCTTCCGATGGGCAATGTCCAGATCCGTGCTAACGTAGCTTTTCATAAATTTGTGGTTTCAAAACAAAACAAAACCGGGTCCTATACTGAGACAAAACAGGGCCCTTGTGTAATAAACAACATTGACGAAACAGGGTCCTTCCATTTTGACATGACCCATTTCTTTCGTTTCATGCACAGAAATGCAAATATTGAGGTGCTCATAGTGACTAGCCATGCAATCTCTGTGTTAATATCTTTCTTTCCGTACTTTTCTTTCCGTACAATGTACACAATTTAAAAAGAAATTAAACAAATTCGTAGTAAGGTTCACTCAATTCACCATTTTCATGTGCCTTTTTACTTATTTCTCCATTAATCTAGAACGGTTGTAGAAAATATTACATTACACAATCGAAAATAGTTATATGTGTATGTTTATTCTTCAATGTCATTAAAAAACTAATAAATAAACAGAAATTCTACCTTTTCTCTGTCTGTTGATTGTCCGTCACCGTACCGGACATTAGATACTATCGAGTCCAAACATTTTTTGCCGGGGTAGTTTAGACACAGTGAATATTGACACAACTTTTTGCTGTTCGGTTCTGTTTAAACTTTATGTCATTTTAGTTTTGATGCTATCATACGATAAAAATTTTGCACATAATTCTGTATCGTACAAAAATAAGAAGATGTGGTATGATTGCAAATGAGACAATTCTCAACCAGAGACCAAATGACATAGAAGTAAACAAATATAGGTCACCGTACGGCCATCAACAATGAGCAAAACCCATACCACATAGTAAGCTATAAAAAGCGCCGAAATCACAAATGTAAAACAGTTCAAAAGAGAAAACAAACGGCCTGATTTATGTACAAAACAATAAACAAAAAACAAATATGATATACAATTAAAAAAAACGACAACCACTGAATTAAAGGCTCCTGGCTTGGCTTTTCGTATGAAATGAGTAATATTCATCAAGTGATTACTTATATTTATTCTTCTAAATGGTTTGGTTAAGATTGGTAATATAATTATATGGATAACAAAACATGCTATATAGTCTTCAAGGTGTCTTTATCGCTTACCTTGTGTCTATGCATAATATAAATAAATTTTCCGTTCAGATATTTAAAAGAGCACAGTGCTTTGGAAGCTGAAATTAGTGGAAGGGAATTAAAATGCAGATAACCCCTTTGAAACTACATTCACGAAATATGTAAACAGGGGAAATCCAAATAGCCTAACTAGGCTTTCAATTGTGAATGTATTTCCTTAATAAAACTGTTGAAATATACATTTCTTAGGACAGGAGTTCCCCTACCAAATTTACTTTTCTCTGTGATTAGTTCAAAATCAGAATAACCATACTAACATTTACAAAGCAGCTAAAACTTCGAATACACATTACTTGCAAGGAAAAGGCTTCATATTTACTATGAACGCACCACAAGGGTGACTGGGGAATAGAAATATGGTCACCATTGGTCTTCCTCCGACCGGCAGTAAAGCCCTTGCCAAAGTGGGGCATCCGTTTGGCTGTGCAGGATGTACAAGTTCGCCGTTCAATACTTACGCACCCTGTTCCAAAAGTTGCTTCGTCTTCGCCCCCTCAACAAATTCATATTCCAAGACATCGTCCGCCACCAGAGTTTAATATAGTCTTACGTCCAAACGATGTTAATACAAATAAACTATTTCTTTAATTTTTAGATTACGTGTATTCCTTAAAATATTACCGTTTCAATATGGTACTTACCTGATAAAAAATGTTGAAACCAGCAGACATGTCACATGTTCGAATTGTAAACACGCGTCACGTGACAACTATGTACAAGTTTTAATATGCACGGAAAGTCAAATTAACATTTGCTTTTCTTTGCGTTTTTGTTTGTTATTTCAGAACAATGTCAATAGCCGGTATCGGTCACATGACACTTTTGTTTTTTTCACATCTCGTAAATAGTTAACAAATAGGGGTGTTGCTAAACGGCGAAACGGAATACGGAACAAATAGGTAGGCATCAATTATTATGTAAACTGGGTCAAATACTAATTAGTAAATTACATGATATTTTCAAGGAGTGTGACACAATCTCGTTCTTCAGCCCTCTTTATGACTCTTGAATATTCGCGTATAATTACAACTTTTTGCCACCATAGGCTGTTCCCGCGTATCGATAAACCTGGAGATCATAAACGGCATTTTCTTAAAATTTAATATTTTAACAGAGGTATTGATTTCATCAACTTATCGAGTATATTCAATGACTCTACCATTCAAAACTTTATACCTCCCTATTTTGATAACACAGAACCACCTATTATTTCGTATACATACAAAAAAAAACCAGCAGAAGTTTAATTTTCAATTATACGTCAGTCACATCAGACGTCAGTGTAGAAAATAATACTCCTCTAACTTGAGACTGTGAATCGTCGAATTTTAGATATAATTCCTATGGCAATGTTATTACGGGGGACCTCAATATCGTTCAAGACCGAGAGGTTAAAAACTTTTTGAAAAAAAAGACCGAAATATCGTCCTCCATCTAAAATAGGTTGGAAATAGTGTCGTCAGGTCACAAAAGACGCTCTTTCATCGTATTGTAAAAATTGGTGTAAACGGGAAAAATCTGATAAAAAATCTCTTGATTCTTATTTAAATAAGTGTATGAATGTTGTCGATATTCGAATATCACATTTTGAAAATAATTTAGAAATGAATAAAAGAGTACATAATACGCCTATTTGTAGAATAAGAAGCAAACTTCGAGAACGCGCAAAACGGTTTGTGTGTGTACCGGCCGACAAAGCAGCCAACAATGTGGTGGTGGTATGCCGTAAATACTACACAGACGTTCTTAAGAATGAAATTTTAAATTCTTCTACATTCAAGTCCGTGCGCTCCACAGAGAGTCATATAGTAAAGAATCATATCATAACCACATCACAGCTTAAGGCCTCTTCTGAACATTTGAAGGTCCCTACTATGTATTGGTTACCTAAACTACACACAAAAAAACACCAGTAAAATATCGTTTCATCTTGGCCTCAAGTAAGTGTTCTACAACTAATCTTTCCGTGCTTTTAACTAGTTCCTTAACTACTATCAGAGAACTTATCGTTAACTTTTGTAATAAAACATATGAAAATAGTGCAATTAACTATTTTTGGAGTGTAAAAAATTCTTTGGATGTTTTAGATAAATTACGTTCTTTTGATTATTCTTTTGATTCTGTTGACAGTTTGAATTTTCAACTCTTTATACTACACTTCCACACAATCTTATCAAACAAAAGTTTTCCAATTTAATTGAATAGTCGTTTGGTAAATCTGAATGCAAATATATTTGCTGCAACTTATTTAAAGCCTTCTTCTCTAATGAGAAAGGTAAATATGCTAGATATACTTACTGGAGGTGTGATGAGATGATTGAAGCTGTTAATTTTCTCCTTGATAATATTTATGTACGTTTCGGCAATAAAGTTTATCGACAGGTTGTAGATATTCCTTTGGGCACCAATTGCGCCCCTCTCATAGCAGACTTGTCCTTGTAATGTTATGAATCACAGTTTATGACAAAATTAGCAAAGAACCGTCTAAATAGCATTTAATTGATCAATTCAACAACACTTATCGATATCTTGATGACATTTTTTCGTTAAACAATCAAGAATTTTCTAAATGTACTGCCGAAATTTACCAAAAGGAAGTTACTTTAAACAAATCAAATATAAACGGTAATAACTGTCCTTTCCTAGATTTAGATATTTCAGTTTTACATGGGAAACTCTACACTAAAATTTACGACAAAAGGGACGATTTTTCGTTCCCCATTGTTAATTTTCCTTTTTTGGACGGTGATGTTCCTTTGGCACCATCTTACGGTGTTTATATATCACAACTCGTTCGCTATGCCCGTGCCTGTTGTGACGTTTTGGATTTCAATGAACGTAATCTATGTATTACTGGTAAATTATTAAGTCAGGGATTTCGTTACCACAATTTACTTAAAACCTTTACTAAATTCTTCCATAGATATAAAGACTTGGTTTTGAAGTTTGGTTGTACCTGTAGAAAACTTATTTTTAACGGGATAGCACATCCTTATATTACGGAGATGTTGTTTACCGAGCCCGGAAACTGACATGTTTAACCCCGCCACACTAGGTGTTAGGGACTTCCATAATAAGGTGACTTTAGAATGGAAAATGTTCTTCAAAAAGTTTGAACGGAGCCTCGGAACAATTAAATTTTCTTTATTTTACGAAAAAAAACATTTTGTGAATTTATCTCATGAAGTAGTGATATCACATAAACATGGAGTTGCATTATTATTCATACAACTCCCTTATGATGTTCAATGCAACCCCATATCTTTCGGTATGAATTTCCTTTCCGCTCATTAATTTACGCTAAATGCCTTAGATAAATAGGTAACACTAGTTTCAGAAGTATATGCTGGAAAATGATAACTGTCTAAATCTCATTTGAAACTAATGAAATATGGAACACCATTGTAGGCGAAAACCTAATAATGACCGTTACCTATAATTACGTCGAATGAAGGGATTCGCATGGTAAGGTTTAATATTTGACAGATTGCGGTCTAAATTTTAACAGACTTATTTGTAATTTAGTCAGAAGAGATTATTTGTGCAAAAATAATCATGATATATTATGAAAAAAAAACTTTAAAAAAATTCAGGACGTATCAATAAGTTTCTATACGATTTTGTGAATTTCTGGAACCTACGATTTTAATATTTTTGTAAAACAAAGTTTTGATCATTTTTTTAAAACAATGTTTGATCATTTTTTTAAAACAATGTTTGATCAAAATAATGTCCCTATTAATAAAACGAGGCACAGCAAATGCCCATTTTTTTAATCCATTAGCGTGATGCGTGTTCTTTCAGATTCTAAACGAATAATTCATCTTATTTCTTGATATTATATCTGATCATAAATAGTTTCTAACAGTAAATATGATGGGTTCGTGCAAGTTTTGGATTTTCTAAATATCAACAAGTAAAGGCATCCCAAAGCTAATTCTATCAAAGGTGTATCAATCTATTATCTCACAAAAACAAATTAATTCAGTTTAGTTTAAATTGCATTCCAATGCAAAAAATACTCAAAAACTTATAACATTTACAATATTCTTTAAAAAATCGGCTTCAACAGAAATGTTGTAGAAATATTTGAATAGAAACTAGTGTTATTTTTTCAGATATATAAAAATAAGAAGATGTGGTATGATTGCAATGAGACAACTCTCCACAAGTAACCAAATTACACAGAAATCAACAACTATAGGTCACCGTACGGCCTTCAACAATGAGTAAAACCCATACCGCATAGTCAGCTATAAAAGGCCCCGAAATGACAAATGTAAAACAATTCAAACGTGAAAACTAACGGCCTGATTTATGTACAAAATAATGAACGAAAAACAAATATGATTTACAACAACAAACGACAACCATTGAATTACAGGCTCCTGGCTTGGGACAGGCACATACAGAATACGTTTTAAGAAACGTTTAATGTATAAGCAATAGTACTGAAATCATTAAAACATTTTATTTCACAAAATGTTTTTGTGTAGATTTGTACAATGTAGTCTATATTTTTTTTGTTTTAGAGTTGTTGTTTGAGGATCTGAGGGAAGATTATCTGCTGTTGCTAAATGTACTTCCCTCTTTAAAATAAAGTAATTACTTACTTACTTACTTACTTACTTCCTTACTTACTTACTTACTTTCTTTTTGTACTGAATCTTTTTTCAAAGACAGACGTAAGTCAAGGAAGTGACAAGTCCAAAAATGGTTAAAAAATGCAGAAATACATGTACTTTAAATTGTTTTCAGAAGATGAGACCATGAAATGGCTACTTCCTGTTTCAGAGTCAAGTTCAGTGAAAATCGGAAAAAAATCGGAATGTTTGACATTTTTAATCCGAATGACCTTTCACAGGCTACTGTAGCAAGACAGGTACAAGTTTTCTTCCAATGGTATCACTTTGTAGAAGAAGCAGCTCTCGATGATCTCTCTCTGCACAGGATCCAAAACTTGATTATAGAATGGTAATATTGGGCGGGGGTGGGGGAGGGGGATAGATACCTATTTTGTGAGATCAAGTCCTCCTTCATTTTCATTCCTGATCCCTGAATATTCACATAAAGATTGTACAAATATTGAAGTCGTGCATCTGCTGTTATGATATTGTTTGAGGAATTTTACTAATTTTTTCTGACTTGGGAAAATAGTAATTTTTCGGCAAGATTTTTAAAATACGGTACCAGTTTTTGTTTTTAACCATCACACAAAGTTTGTAAACCTATGGAAGTTGTGATTTTTGTTCTTCCCTCAGCGGGATTTAACCCCTGCATTTGAGACATCTTGGCAACATTGCCTGCACTGTGTCCAGTGCCCTTGACCACTTGACCAACTAGGCTATATAAAAATATAGCTTTCGCTAGTCGAGTAATGCCTTTTCTCGTCGGCTTTATCTAGGGTTGTAACACAGTGCAAGATGTATAATGGCAAGTAGATGGAATACCCTGCAGATCAGCTGTTTTTCGTCTGTCGTAAAGGATGATAATTTTACTAACCATGCCGTCACATCAAATTTGAATATTATTATATACGTCTAATTATGTGACAACTTTACGACAGACGTTCTCCATCGGATAACTTGTGGTTATACAGGGCTAACACCATAGTTTATATTAACTTCGTCTCAAATTTAGCCCAACAATGTTAGATCTACAAATTTTATATATTATATACAAGTCTAAATTGAAAACAACGTTCAAACCTATGATTGCGTTGGATAAAAACCGCAATTTTTATACGTGTGCATGCAAAACAAATTTCTTGGTAGAGGGGTCTAAATACAGCACAAACAACATTTTCCAAAGGACCAAAAAAGTGAAAAAGTATATTTTAACAAAACGCATTTGACTAGCAGGTCGAACAACGGATGTTCTTAAACCCTGCTGACTGCAATTGGCGATTGACAAATAAACAGATCACCAGATGTAACAAAATGGATCTTAACTATTAATTTAATACCAAACAGAAAACAATAAACTTGCGAAAAAGATGGTATACCGCAAACAAAAGGTGCAAAAATTAGTACACCATATACTGATTTCAACAATTAATGTCTCTTCAGTGATGTTAGGAATCGAAAATGTTCGTTATAGACAATTCTCCATTGTTAAAGAATTTCAAATATTCGTTGCAACCCGGGCGTTAGAGTCTTTGATCCATTTTTCTCTTGATTACGTTCATCTTCCTTCATCACAGAATCTGTTATATAGTAACTATCTTTGGAAAAAATATATTATCGACACAGCATTTCATAGTAAGCTTCGCTTCGTGCAATTTAATGCTATTGAATAATTACAAAATTTGTATTCACCCACTACAAACTGAGTAAGCTTCTTAATAATCTTTATGACTTATAATTCCAAAACAATTTATTAACAATTATGTCCAGATAAACACAATCACCAAACCTACATAACATTTATGCCTGCGTGGGTATTTGATTAAATAATCGTGACGCATGAAAAGGATCTATACATTATTAACATTTTGGATTCAGTGACGCTGGCAAAAAAATAAGGCTTTACGTACGACAATGAAATCATGAAACCATGAAATTAGATATTTCTTATGAATATGAATTATATTCAACAGTAGAGAGAAGCCGAGTGGATAGGGAAAACCCACAAGTGAAATAAATACAGATACCATAAGAACGAAAAAAAGAGAAACAATACACAGACAATTTAAAGATCGAGCAAAACGATCGACCCTGTCTAACCCACAAACTGTTTTAACTGTTTTTGTCGTTAATGACATGTTCATAAAACCCAGGAAGAAGTTGTTGATAAACATAAAAGGCACTAGATAAAAGTATAGGTGATCGCTATGAAACATCAACAGCTGCTAGTCACACCTGTTATCCATGCACTGACCAGTAATGTTATAGAACCACTAATTCGGGCTAAATTTTAACAAAATAATTCCTACGCATAGTTGTAACTTTGTCAATAAGTATAATATTTGGTAATTTTAGTATCCAATGAAAGCTTAAGGGTCTGGGTTCACAGTAGAACCATTTTTTAAAATTGTTTTTATTGTAAAAAAAATATATGAAATTACAGAAGGAGGGCATGTTTGCCCTGTTGCTCAGATCAGAAGTATCTGTTTTTGTACTACCAAACTTTCGGGAACCAGTGCACTCTTATGTGCAATTAAAGTTATGTTGAATTTTTCAGCAGAAGGCAGGATAAGGTAAAGTTCTGACATGAAATTAATGTCACTTTATTTGAACTTAAAACAAACTAGCAGAATTTAACATAGAAAGCAATTGGAATATGAATTAGTCACATGGTATTATTCCTAATCGGAGAATTTCTTGACAAACCTTCATCGTATCATATTACAGTTGTATGTGCTTTAGGGTGTCGATGTAGGATCCTGGATAACGAAATTCGGTTCATGAATGGTGTTAAGAAATATATGTTCTGTTGTTACCAATATTGTCACCGCGCTTGATTAGCTCGATGAATTATTGACTTGCAAATTCAACTCATTTGAATCCGTATTCATGCTACCTTTTAATTTGACCGTTAGTGTAGATGGTGCACATGTGTTCATCATGTGGTTCATTCATTAAAACGAACATGATGTCAACATTGAAAAGTGAAACAAAGAAGCCACCAGGAATAACCATTTCTTTGACTGATCTGGCTCACATGAATTTGACAGCTAATGCCCCTTTAAAAAGTCAAATAAAGTTGAAGTGTATTGAGGACCAAAAAATCCGAAAGGTTATGGCAAATACAGCTAAGATAATCCATTCCTGGGACAGAAAATACTTAGTATTTCAAACTTTGACTGTGGGAGACGAAACCGTAGTTTTAGAACATTTAAATAGTTAATGAGCTTGAATTTTATAGACAAAAAATGTCTTTAAAGTCCTACTGTAATACCACCCATAGCTTTACCAACCCAGTGGTAGTAAAACGTATAATATAAATTTCTGTGTTTCTAGAATAACATAGGACAGAATAAAAAAAATAATAGAGATCTAAAAAAAATATCTTATTTCAAAAGATTAAGAAAGAATCTAATATTATGAAACATATAGATGTGTGTATAAGAAATAGCGATGAATCAACACTGATAAGGGAAAGCACTGAACTCTCAATGTTACTTTTCATTTTTACTCCATTACTTTATATTATACTGAATAGCGAATTACATTGTACAAGCCGACATGCGTAGTAATACGCATTTTCATAGCTCTCCTGAATTGAACGATTCAGCTTAGAATTTAAATTTTAAAGTCTATTTGGGTTCAACTTTGAATTTTGAAGGGTTTGAAAGTGCTGGCGACAATTACTACAACACAATTGAAATTTTATTCTTTATTTGAATACTTTTTGATGGAATTGCTTAAATTTGATTAAACAAATAACAATAGTTAACAGTATCCTTATCAATTTTGTAACTAAATGTCTTATTTTTGATAAAATAATTCGTGTGCATTGTGTAAATTCATTAATGTCAGCTATCTCCTTTCCAATAATGACATGCGTAATATACGTTGCTAAAAAATGGAATGCCTTGACAGTTGTAGAATTGTAATGTCAGTATTCTCCTTTTCATTTTACCGAATCTACGGTCGCTGTCATTATTCTTACAGCGGAAGTCCCCGTTTCTTAATTCTGTAGAGACATTTAGACCATGACATAAATCCAACATGTCCATTATGTCAATATGACACAATCACTGGTTTAAATATGTTTCCAACTTTGACAAACACTACTGAATGGAAGTTTGAAATACTTATTCTGTCTGCGCAACTGATAACGTTCATTCTGACCATCATTGCAAGACAACTATTTACGTTAACATCTAAGAGATCACTCTCTATATCACGTAGAAAAAATAATAAAAGATGCAATTATACTCTTATAATGAAATCTTTACACGCATGTAAAATAACATATTAACACGCATGTAAAATATCATACTTTCACGCATGTAAAATAACATGTTTAAACATATGTAAATTAAGTTAAATAACATTTTTTCATCTTTTTAACACTATTATAACGCACACCATCTTAGAAGAATGAAACATAATAAAACGTGTTCGGCAGCATAGAATACTTTCAGTCCGGAACTTCTTGGTCTGTAATTACCTGTTGATGTATAGAAAAATATAATTGCAAAATATATATACATAATAGCTAACGTAATAAGAACTGTCTTATACTATGTGGTATGGCTTCTGCTCATTGTTGAAGGCCGTACGGTGACATATAGTTGTTAATTTCTTTGTCATTTGGTCTCTTGTGGAAATTGTCTCATTGGCAATCATACCACATCTTGTTTTTATATTATATCCTAAAAGCAAACTCAAAGGACGTTTGTTAACTTTTTAAAAATTCATTCTGTCGAATGCTTATATTTCGCTCATCAACTCACACTTGCACGATTATATTATAAACATTCAGTTTTTATCAAGTTTTCTATCCCCATACATAGATGGCCTTAGCCAGATTTGTCACAACTTTTTCTACTTTTGGGGTTTCAATGATCATCAACTTTGTTTATTGATTTCAACTTGTAAGTTTTCTTATGTGACCTTATATGGACGAATTGCATGTCTGGCGTACTATATTAGGCTGGTGTGAGTTTTATGCTAGGGTCACATATAAAGTCAAGGGCAGATTACTCAGAGTTTCAATGAATAACGATCACTGATTTCGAACAAGTGTTTCGTCAAAGATAACTATAAGAAGATTAAAATATTCAAGGGTTAAAACGGATAATTATCCTGTCAGCGCACGGCAGATAATTAACAATAAACCCAAAATCACAACACGGGTGAGCAACACCCATCCCATAATCCAAGTACCAAAAGCATTAGGGATAAACTTTGGTTTCTAAAATGGTACCAAGTGTCTGCTTCACATGTGGAATAAATCGGAGTCACCTGTGAGAGGTCTTGCAGTAAGTTAAGAACGAGGAATGGTGTATGGAGACAACTTGAACACATTACATTTCATGTTCCTCTGTGACACCAAAAGTAAGTGACGATTAATCTTATGATAAGGAAAATCCACACATAAGTTTGCTTTCATTTTATGTTTTTCGTATATTTTCATAGGCCTTTTTTTTATTCGAGCGTCACTGATGAGTCTTTTGTAGACGAAACGCGCGTCTGGCGTACACAATTTTAATCCTAGTATCTATAATGAGTTTATTTGTGAACACTATTTACCTCGGGTGGACTGTCCATTTTTCTGTTTCTCAGGTCGTTTCTTATTTTCGAAGACTTCGTATGATGGATAATCTTTAGTTTGTTTGGTCGTCGGAATTAACTTGGTTGTTGTAGATGGTGGCTTTGTTAATTCTACAGCTTCTGCAATATAATATCATGATAAATATTTAGCATTACATGTTTATATAAGTTATTTCAATTTTAAAATTTTTTGAATCTATACATTATTATGTTTGAGCTGACATATATGTGTTCCCTTGACAGAGTTTCAACCCACATTTAATAAATATCCAAAGAAATATCGACCTTTTGTCAGTACGCTAAACGCTATAACCAAGCATTTACACTCTTAACTGAATCCTTCATAATGAATTACAAATTCATCTTACGAGGTGTTACCTTGTATCATAGGGAACAAAATTACTGTCGCATATAATTCAACAAAGGCACACGTGCAAATCACGTGTACGGTGACTAAAAGTCCTAATTTCTCCTAACATGACGAGATGAAATCTCGATTACGTTTTATACAAGGGAGGCAAAAGATACCAAAGGGACATTCAAACTCATAAGTCGAAAATAAACTGACAACGCCACGGCAAAAAAAAGACAAAAAAGTACACAAAACACAACATAAAAAACTAAAGACTGAGCAACACGGACCCCACCAAAAACCGAGGGTGATCTCAGGAGCCCCGGAAGGGTAAGCAGATCCTGCTCCACATGTATCACCCGTCGTGTTGCTCATGTAAGTACAAACCCGGTGATGTCTTATTAGGTAGGTCACATTCGGGAAAAACAGGACGGGATTGTGGTAACGACAAATGGAACATATCCGTCGTCAACTGTGAAACAGATATTCCATAACGGTCAACCAACTCGTGATAGCGTTCGTAAAATTTTCAAAGGTATGATTTCAAATACACCACCCGGAACTCTTGGTTTAATAGCTTCCTTGTGAGCAGCAACCCTCCATCAAGAAAATCATGATAGGAAATACAAGCCCTGAATATTGTATCAACTGGGAGATATATACATGTACTCCATATGCAGGCGCTGCATGAATGTTTCTTCAAAGAAATGGAATGTTCGCAATTAGAAAGCTGAAATCATCTATTTTGTCGTAAAGCGTTGTATTCAACCGAACCACATTGTCAATTCCCAGATGTAAGTCAAGATATGAGGCAGACTTGACTGTATCTGTTGTATCCTTAATCTCAAGTGTGATGGGATAGATGCTTTCAACATAGTCACCAAACTTTGAATTATTTAGTGACAGAACATCATCTATATAGCGGAAAGTGAAGTTAAAGGATAATGCTAATTCTGTTCTTTCTTCTTAAAAAGCTCTTGTATGAAGTCAGCCTCATATGAATAAAGGAACAAGTCGGCAAGTAGAGGAGCACATTTGGTTCCCATGGGAAAGCCGATTGTTTGTTGAAAACCACATCTTCTAGACGTATTTAATATATTGTCAAATCAAGAAAGCAAGCATCTTGACAATGTTAGTTTCAGAGAATTTTTTGTTTGAATCAAAGTGACTTTTTACAAAGTCCGATTTATCCCTCTCTAAGACAAGATACTTGTATCTACGTTGGCCATTCTTTTTCATGAAACAAAGAAGTACCAACTCTTTCTTATAAGGTTGTATTTACACATAGCAGATAAACTTGACTTTAGTGGATTTAAGAGAAGGCGTACGTCTCACTTTGATTGGACAATATATATCATTTTTTAGCATGAAATCGTTCGCTCGGCAGTATATCATCCGTTTCTTGGGAATTACGCTCACTCTTTTCAAAAATCCTGTATCCCACTGCTGGCTATGAGGTAAGTGTTTGTTTCATATGGACAAGCAATAAACGTTACAATAGCTTACGTATTAACTATAGGCATTCAAATCCTTTATGAGGTCAAAACAAATTTTCACTGAATTTGTTTCACCGACCGAGTTAATACCGGAATGTTTAATGAATATGAAAATAATATGATTTTGTATGAATGCCAATGAGACAACTATTTATACAGACCTAAAGACAAGCTGTATATCATGTTTATTTTTCGTTCATTGTTTTTTACATAAATCAGGCCGTTTGTTTTCTCGTTTGAATTGTTTTATATTTGTCATTTCGGGGCCTTTTATAGCTTACTATTCGGGTATGGGTTTTGCATATTGTTGAAGGCCGCACGTTGACCTATAATTGTTCACTTCTATTTGGTCTCTTGTGGAGAGTTTTTCATTGGCAATCATACCATATCATCTTATTTTTATACATAATCAATTATAGGTCGCATTACGACCCGTTTGTATATTACTGTATATAAGAATTAAATGAAAAGTGTAAATACATCAACTATTGGAAGAGAGTTAAAATAATATTCATACATTGTGTTGTATTGGACTTAAGCTACTGTACTTACCATATAAAATCATAGTCTCTCTGTCTTTTCCAAGATTATTTGAAGCAACACATGTATAATTTCCGTAATCTTCTTTTTGTATACTATGAATATTTAGATCCAAAATTTTTGTGTTTATTTCATAATGATCATCATACAAGTCTACTCGATACTTCGTGCTGCTTTCTATTCGAATTCCATTTCTTTGCCATTCTAAGAACTGGATCGGATTTGCTCGTACGATACACTGTAGTATTGTTTCTTTGTAGAGATACTGTGAAAATCGTCGGTTTGGTAATTCAATTTCTGGACGAACTGAAATCAACATTGGTAAACTATGATAAGATTTTAAGTTAGAAAATGTGTTCGAAATTTGTAACATGTGAAGTCTAAATTAAGCTATTTAAAAGGTTCAATAATAATATTAATAGAGATGTCAAAAATGAATTTTTTTTTCTCAGAACAGAGTGTTTGAAATCAGTATTTTGACACTAGAAATTCTTCAATAAGTTATGAAATATCAAGAGAAATGTGTGAAATGTACGAAATCTTCAAGTATTACTATGTTGTTGCTTTACTGTCATTTTTTATTTGTTTGTAATGGTAGGAAATGATATTTGTGATTTTGAGGGTTCCTTTGTTGCAGTAAAAATATATTATCATGCATTTTACGGTCTCCAATAATCTTAATCTCCTCCATAAATTTTAGTTTAAACTTCATACTTCCATCAGTTATTTACAATTTATGTCTTTTTTTGAAGTGCAATAATTCTTGTTCCATAATAATTCCATTTAATTGTTTTTAAATCTTATGATTTTCAAGAAGCAGGAATAAAAGACGGCGAAAACAGATACATAAATATCAATCCATCGATTACACAGAAAATGTTACACCTGGTTTTATTTAAATTTTGAATGGATGAAGTTTTCAACACCTTAGTGACCATTAAACATCGATAAATACTTTGTCAGACGGATATTCAACAGTTTTATCGATGTCTAACATTGCCAGTAATAACAAACGGGATAAAGTTCCCTATTGCAGTCAGTATAATAAAAGAAGGCGACAATTGTTTACCATGTTTACCGATGTTCAAATAATAGAAAAATAACAAATCTTGCCGTCATAGAAATGTTTCATTTTGTTATAAAATGAGTCAGTTATTTAATATACTCATTTTGTTCCAAAGGACAAGACAGGAGAAAGCTTTTTTGGTTAAAATGGAATAGAAAAAAAATTCGCCAGTGATTAATTTTAGTTAAATCTGATGTTTTTGTCCATGGATTTGATATTGATACAGCTCTTAGCAATTCTTGGAAAATATATTCTTGTCTTTTTTAGACTTGGAATGATATAGAAATTTATGTCCCGAAATAAAAATTTAATTCATTGGACAATTATTTTTCATATCATACGAACAGAACATAACCTTAAAGGGGCATTAGCAACGATATATTAAAAAAAATGATTTGTTTTTGTTCAATCATTAATGAAAGTGAAATCGTAAAATAATAATTCGCTTTTAGCAGCCAATTTGGTTCAATTTTGTCAAAATAAGCTAAGAAACATCGCTGTTGAATTATTCACTTGCAAGTGAATAATTCGACCTCATTGAATGCGTATTCATGTGACCTTCAATTTGACCTTAGCTGGAGATGGGTTACGCATGAATTCAGCTATCAAAAGGAAAAGAATGTCAACATAGAAAGTGAAACAAGGATGAACCATTTGGTTGACTGATTCGATCCACAAAAAAATCATTCTTATACACGTAAAAACGATGATAAACATACTTTTTAACATATATGAAATCAAACAGACCGTTAGAAAATATTCAATTGCACGTGGTCGCTATCTATATAGTTTTTCATATTTATGTTTATATCGGGTTTTATGACCGTCGGCGAACAAAATTATAAGCCTGGTATCTTGGATGATTTTTTATAAACTGTGTTTATGTTTCTCTCTCACTCTATATATATATCTCATTTATTTATCAGCAGTGGTTCAAAAACAAACTTACAAATGACTTCCACCTCTATTTGATGTGAGTCAGCTTTGTCAACTCTGTTGAATGCGATACATTCATAAGTACCACCACAATATCTGGAGATATTATGTATCAAAAGGATTTCACCTGGCTCTACAACCGCTGAAATGAGATTTAAGAATTTAAAATTCTTCAAATATTTGGGTTTGAGCGTTCCCCCAGATGAAGGTAAATCTAGAAAAGCACTTCATACGCAGCATATTTATTGCTTCGCATCACGCGGCGGAGCTATTAGTTTCAGTCGATATGCTTTATGATGCGGCTGAGATACAGCAACAGCTATTGGCTTAAATGAGATAAAGAATTACGGACTTTTCTCGTCTCAGGATAAGACATCTAATACCGGAAAATTAAGTATGTGTATTTCGATTCCGATCAACTGTCATTAATTCATGTTCGTTTTATTATGCATATATTGCATACTGAAATCCAATACTGAAATATCAATTATTAATACGTGTTTATTTGCTTTGTTAATCTGCAATATGCACGATTTATTTTGCTAAACAATGTTCCTATACAATGTTTACAAAAATGCATTATCTGTATTTTATTACTTCTGCCAATCTAGGCACACCTCCCGAGAGGCACACCTCCAGAGTCGTGTCTATTTGTAAATGTTTTAATTTTCAACAAGTAAAGTGAAAAAAATTATAAAAGCATGGGTGTATAACGCACAACACTGAACAGCCAGTTTAAAATTTCAGAAAAGTTCATCTTAATATATATACAAAAATTGATATTCCAAGTCTAAGACATCCATTTTATATCAATCAATATCTAAAATACCACATTTCCAATACTAATTAAATCAACAAACACATGCACACATATTACCTTAAATTAGGATAGAGCGAAGCAGTCCACAGATTTTTAGAAAGCTCAAACTTGTAAAGTGTTATTTTCATTATTAAGAAAATTTGCATGCATCAAAACTGACAATATTCAACCAGTATTTTCTCATACTTCTAAATACCTTTCGTATTTTGAAGAAGCTGACGGTCCTAGTTTGAAAGTCTTTAGTGGTCGAACCTTACATATATTTTGGCCGCGAGTATCACTGAAGAGATATTTATTGTCGAAATGCGCATATGGTTCATTAAAATGGTTACCGTTAATGCTATGTAACCTACCGTACCCGAACCAGACGTACTTCCACAAAACTACGGAGGTATATGTTCGGTAAAGAAATGAAATGTTCACAGATGTGAACAGTTTATTATCAAAGTTGTATGCAATACAAATCAACAATTTTAGATCCATCTTTCCCAATACATATAAGTGCAGTCAGGTGTTTGACTTGTCCAAGTGCTTTACCACCATTTTCTACATAAGGAAATGCCTGTACTAAGTCAAGAATATGACAGTTGTTTTCCATTCGTTTGATGTGTTTGAGCTTTTTATTTTGCCATTTGATAAGGGACTTTCCGTTTTGAATTTTCCTTGGAGTTCGGTATTTTTGATATATTACTTTTTACATGTGTACGTATTTTTTTTTTAAACTTCGCCTTGGTAGAGTTCAGGAGGCACACATGTTTAATTGTTTTACTACGGAGTTTTCAAATATTTGACAATGACTTCAATACTGTTTCCTTCTTTATGCTATAAATTCTACCTAAAATCAAAAGAAAAAAATGAATCAACTGGACGTCCATAAACATCTACCATATTTTTCCATGATGAAAACATGCAAAAATGTAAATAGTCAAACATATATTTTTAAATGAAATATGCTTAGTGCCTCAATTATCGACTCATAATTGAAGTTTTACCTTTACCTTCTTTTGTGGCTTTTTCATATAAAGTCTTTGGTATATGTCTGAACCACTGCACAGTTGGTGTAGGAATACCAGTGGCATTACAGATAAGTTGTACGGTCTTACCTTCCTCCTCTTCTATATCATGACTTGTACCGTGATCAATGATCCTAGCTGGTACTATAATGCATAAAAGATTAAGTTATTAATAGGTGTTAGAAAATCATTGACCACACAGAAGTCAAGTCAAAATTTAATGCAGTCTCTAAAATTAAAAAAAAAATACATTGGGGTATATCAAAGGCTGTGGTGTCAGTTCTTTCCTTTTTTTTTAATATGAATATACTACAAGCTCGAGTCTATGGACTTAACAACGATTGACCTAAATTGTTAGCCGATTAGACTAAACTAACATTCTGCAAAACAATTATTCATGTTCTGTGGCATCACAAGTTATCTTTTGAGATGCTAAAACAATAGGAAAACGTTTAATTTCATTCAATGGCTGACGCACCTGAATTGGTGTATAGATGTTCTACTGGTAGCCTTTCAAGAGTGTTCGCGAATCAGAAACTAATTACATGTGGAATATATTAAATTTTCAATAAAGTAACGATTTTGAAGATGGAATTGCAATAATGTCACGATAAGGATAACAACAATCATTAAATGGAGTGAAAATACCAAGGGACAATAAAAACACAAAAATAAGTAGCAAAACAGACAGCACCAAGCAAGTAAAAAAAAATTGAACAGAAAAAAATTCATGATATAGCAACAGACCCCATCCCCCCTCTTCCTTCTGCTCCGGACGGTTAAGTAGTTCCTGTTCCACCAGTGGCACTCGTCATGGATGTTCTTATTTCTAGATAAAATCTTAATACAAGTCTCTTCAATAATATCATATATATATATACAACATATCCATAGTCATATGTGACACAAATTTTCCATAGCAATCAACAAAATTCTGATAACGGCAGTAAAACTTTCGAAGAATGGTCTCTAATCTAATCACGAAGAACCTTCTGATCGATAGCTTCCTTGCAAGAATACCACAATTAGAAACGGAAGCTCAGAAATATCGTATCTACTGGGATATTTGTTTTAAAAAGGTCCATATGTGTCCATAGATACTGTTTGAATGTTGTAACTGCATAGAAATGGAAAGTTTACAACTAGAAAATGGAAATTATCTCTCCTGTCTTAAACGCATACATATATTTTAAATCAATTTCACTGTCAAGTTCTAAATCAGATCAACACGTCCCTTAAATTTTATGATGAAAGAAAAATAGTGTCAATAAACAGAAATGTATATGTTCTCCTGCCAGTGACATTATTTCCTTTTGTTCTTTATGATTATATATGTTTATGTTTATGTTATGTTTGAATGAGAAATGAAACTTGCCAAGAAAGATCTTTTGAACAAAATCCACATAAAGAGAAAACAAAGCACTATTTTTTATTCGTTTTAGGGAGTACAGTCTCAGACAAAGTGGTTATGTTTATCGTCCTGGTCACGGCACATCATTCGGATGAAAAGATTGAAATAAATGTATAGGTATTGATACTAACCGAGTACCTTTAAATAAACCTTCTTAGTTTGAACAGGATCTGTATTAATTGAGCAAGAATACACTCCTTCGTCGTAATGCTGAATTTCTCTAATATAAAGAGTCCAATCATTTAAACTATTTCGAGGTAAGGCTATTCGAGTGTCATCAATAATTCGCTTTTCTAAGTTAGTAAGAACCTTATTTTCTGGATTTAGCCATGCTACCTGTAAAGAGAAAAAAAAAACAAATAAAATTCTTAACACTCGTCAGATTCAGAAATCAGGATGTAGCTATCTCGGAAAACAGCATTAAATGTCATTTGGGAAGAAACCATTAGAGTCAAAACCAGATTTCTTTATGCCTGAAGATAAAGCTAATCTTCTGAATTGAATTTCTTTGTCTGTAATAAATAATGTATAATTTCACACAGTTAAATCTTTTCACATGGTCCCTAATAAAAAAAACAATCTAACTAATTTAAAATTTATATTCAACTTACTTTATTCCGTAAAGGGAATTTAGACATTGATTTAATCTTTTTCTTAAGTCTGTTTTTGAAGACCAACATGCCTTCCAAGTAAAAATAGTATGACACCTCCATATTACCCTTCGTTTCTATGTAATTTTGGTTGATTGCAGATGTCACTTACACATTTAATCGACGTTAATTAAAATCACCCATTACAATTCCCGTAAATTTAGGCATTGATGAAATAAAACGTCAATTTCCATTACAATTGATTATACGTTAAGTGTTACTACACTCAAGTGTCGTGTCTTTCAAAAAGGTAATAAAAACAAATAATTCAAAAGACTTCGATTTTTTCCATTGGAAATATTAGTTAATATGATTATGTCTTATATGATGTGCTAGTTCTTTATATTACCAAGTCAGTCGTGAATAGCCTAAAGCTGACGCAGTTTGACGTTCAAGTGTAAGAAAATGAATGTAATAAAAAGAATTGCCAGAAACATGACTGCATCTAGCACATTGTAAAAGTGTCACAATAACTTTTCCTGTTTTTTCGTGAAATTTTATGTTATATATTTAATTTACCAGTCTTTCAAATAGGGTTGTAAAATATTGTAATAGTCAGTTTCGTATAATGTTAAAGCTCTGTTGTTAAAGATAATATTGGAATTGTGCACGTCACTTTCCTTAAATTTTCATATATCTTGCGTATTCATTTTTTAGATTTGTGATATTTGCATCAGAAGATGAATGTGATGAAGTTTAATTCTCAAATAAGTGTGTTGCCGTTGCAATCGTTGTGTTATTAATTTCTATCAACCTCATCATAAATAATGCATGAACTCCAATCAACTCTGTTCAATTCCTTTCTTTGTTTTTTTTATAATCGTGTCTATGTGACAAAAAAGACAAAAAAATCGTCTGGAATTTCAGATGAGTATGACGTAGATGTGTATTTATCTTGTACCTTTGTTAGCATGAAGTAAAGGGATAGATAGATGGACACTTACATTATATGACGTGTGTATTGTCTTTCCCGCTTATAACTGTTTATATCAATCCGACGCATCTGAATTCTTTATCGTTTTAGGGGTTCGTGTAAAATAGTCTCTTGTTTTCTGTATAATGTTTTGTTGACTGTTAGTACTTTTTTTCCATTGTGCTGTCTGTTTCGTATTTGTTCGACTTGTGGTTTTTGATTGCTCCATTGCTATCTTATATAAAAATAAGGAGATTCCTGCTCCTTTTCAGACCAAAACTGTAGAGTTTAAATAGATTCTGTAGACTGAGTGCATTCATTTTAAACCATGGTACATGAAGTCTTCAGAATATATATATATATGTATATGTATAATATTTAGGTAATCTTTTATAAGGAAACAATGTTTATATGTGATTAACTAAATACTTACCACAAAGAAAGAAGTTGTTTATGAAGGTATCACCTATTTCTGTGATAAAAATTTGGCTTTTTTCCATCATTTTTATAGTCATGCATGCATTATACGTACCCTGTGTGCATTTAAATAGCAAGTGTTAAGTTACTGACCATATTAAAAACATACTTAACTTGAATGATCCGTTGATAAGAAACTCATATTTAAATTCCCATAGACAAAGTAGACCTTAGTTAAATTTTTTAATTTTTTATGTCTCTTTTTGTCATACAGACCCTCGCGTTTTCAGGTATTTATACATCCTTGGCTTTTAAGTTTTAGGACGTAAGCGTTTCTGGGGAAGGTAAATTCTGAAAAGCGCTTCCGACGCGTGAAATTTATAAAGTATTATTTTCATCCCAAAGCATCAAAGCAAGAAGAATGAAAATCATCGATTATTCTTTTATTTTTATTGCGCAATTAAGAGCCGTGGTTTGTCGTGTCAGTTCTCCTGTCCATGTTGATGACATCACTAAATTTGACTGAACACGTGGTTTTGTTTTCCCATGAGGAACACGACGGATGTCCGACTAGAAAAGAAGAATATGATTAAACTTTCGTAGCATTTTAAGACTACTGTTATTTGTTTTTCTTTTGATCATTGTGTTGTCTGTTTTTCTTATAGACTTGTGAAGTTTTCTTGCCTCAAGGTATCTTTTCCATTCTTTCCCCTTTAAAAACAGCCAAACCGGAATTACTGATACTGCGTTTTAATCAACAAAGTTTACTTTCTTCAGGATAAATTTATATACCCACTGACAAAGGAGCTAAACAAAGCCGAATTTAAAAACATAGAATAAATATTATTCGTTCGTCAGAGATGGAGCCATGTATTTGAAACGTGCAACGTGTAAGAAATGAAAAATTCTTAGTGCATGTAATCAAACTTATTTGTTCAATGGATGGAAATTACAACACACAAGAATACCATTACACATAGTACGATTTAGTTGTGTTGGTTGCTTATGCCTTCGATGTTTTCCCTATACTCATGTCTTCTAGGCACAAAGCAAAAGATTTTTTTCTTCACACTTAACTCTGCGTTAATTACAATTTACTTTTTAAGGACTCATCATTTTCAAAGCAGTATTTTGCTATACTTGTTTGGACCTTTTTGGATTATAGCTCTTCATCTTTTTAATAAGCTTTGGATTTTCAAATATTTTGGCCTCGAGTATCACTGAAGAGACATTTATCGTCAAAATACTCATCTGGTGCAGAAAAATTAGTACCGTAAATGTTATTTCAAAGGATATGCAATAAATAGTTATAAAAAAGATGGATGTTTGACCTTGTAATCTCCTCTGTAGTCGACTGTACAGTTCAGATAGGCTGTTCTTCCTTGTATCACTGTTAAATTGATTGTACTGGTATCAAACACAGGCATAAATCTAGCGCCATCTTGCTGAATTGTATATGGAACTGAAACGAAAATTATTTAACAATTTGAAATATTTATGCCATATTATTACTTCAATCCTTTTCAAATTGTTTAACCATAGTTCTGTTTCTCAACATTTCAAATTATAAATAACGTACTTTAACTGAAATTGGACTATGTTTTTTTTTCTTATATAAATGCCAAAAATCTATATAAAAAAAAACAACGACTACAAAAGATATAATATTTTACTGTTTTTGACAGCATCTATTATGCAAAATTATTCGCAACCATCTATATAAATTGTTAAAAAAGAATTCAAATACACATTACATGTAAACGTAGTCGTTATTTTATATATATCACAGCTAGGAAATACTCGTTTTGTATCTTTCATTAACGATAAAATCTGCATGAAACTTCAACATGCCATAAGTTACACTATCCGACCTCGTCAAGTTTTCATTCAATATTGCTTATCAGTTTAAGATACCATGGAGCTAAAAACTCTTCGACAGTTATTTACTTGTATTGTATCAAAAATAAAGTAAACAAATGTTTCCATCTTAATGGCAGATTACTTTTGTTATTTGTTCTTGTGTAATCGGGTATTTTCTAAGAAAGCCTTTTTCACACTAAGTAACAAACGAGATTACTTAGTTCATCGTCTTTTCCAGGATCGATTATCGATGTATACAACTATCTATTAAACAGCAGGTATGTATTGCATAGCAGTTACAAGAAGGGGAAAACTCATACATCGGACTCGAAAAGCTTTGACAACATTGATTCAATGATTAAGAAAAACACTAAGACATTTTTATCAGACTTGCCATATAAGTGCAGTTTGATTGTTTAATAGACTGGAATGTTTAAATAAGTAACGATATTATCTTAATTGATGCCATTTGAATGTTAAGTTGTTAAAACACCCATGTTTGTTATGTATAATCGAACGAATTAACCTTTAAGAAGCAAATTGTTGTATGGATTCATATGAAGTAAGCTCTAACTGGTAGATTATACAGAAGTATGACAGCTTTGACAATATATGAGAATTTACGTTAGATTTTCTACATTACGAACCTTAAATAACTCATACTGAACAAACGGTATAATCGTAGGCTTAAAGGTTGGACATATTTCTAGAGTTCATTTACGGATGATAAAATGACTAGTCCTTTTAAAACAAAGGAATGGGTAATTTTCAACGAAGAAACTATTCCGAAAAGATCAGTGGACAAGAGAATGAAACACTGTAGATGTCAAATAACCTTTCACAATGATTCCAAACATAACCAACTCCTAGTTACAGTAAATAAAGGTAACCTCACCAACTGTTGATTTACTTATACAAGGTAGATTGAATCACTCTTCAAATAAGCGGGAGATGTGTATCAACATTGTTCCTTTTATCTACATAGAAAGTCGCCGTTACCATGAGAGAACGAAAGAAATTTACCGAGATTAGTAATCATTTCTGACTTTTGACATTACCCTCTTTCACCATCCGCAAAGTATTGTATTCCGTATAGTTTATGTACATTTACTTCTAAATGTGGTCAATTTGGTTGTTCAGTAGCTCTTTTTTAATTGACCTCAATAATGCATAGATTTCATATTGAATGTTATGAAAATCCTGATCTACATGATAATATGTGTATGGCAGAACAAAATACCGGTTATCTGTAAGTACTGAGAAAAGATTTTGTTTAATGTTTCCTATGAAAAAAGTCAGATCGGATTCAGACAAACATGGGTGATTTAGTTATTTTCTTTTACTATTTTCTGTATTTGAATATTGACTGAGAAACGCGATATAAAACAGACAAACTATATTCGTTAAAAAGAAATCCCTTATCTTGTGGCAACACGTGCAGTAATGTCCATTTTAAATCTATTTTCGGAAAAATAACTGTTTTAAATCTGGTGGACTGGACGTCCCGTTACTATCATTCCATATCCATGTAATCACTTGTATAATAGATTTATTTGCCGTTTCAGAATCAGAACGTCAATAGATACTTAATCGTTCAAAAGCAGCAAAATATTTCTTTGTTCATTTAACAAAGTACAAGTTTCGAAAAGGCCCCTATATGGTTCCTATTACAAGCTTCAATTTCAAATTTGGAATTGTCGGCCATCACCACAATGACCAATAGATAAAATAATGACTAGACAGGAAATCGGTTATTTTATGAAAAAAAAATGTACGTATAAGCGTTCATTTCATGGAGTCACAAATAGCACTAATTTTGATTTTCCACGAAACTCAATGAAATCAGGTCATTTTTTTCATATTTTTGTAGGACCGGAAACTGAAAACGTGTAGCGCATATGTCGGGTAAACTGATTCTTCAACATGATGTTAGCAATAACCAAGTTTTAGCTTTCTAAAAAGCTTTGGAGTGCTTCGCTTACAATACTTTTATGTAAGATGTGGTCTATGTGGTTGTTAAAGTATGGTAAAAGGGTTATTTGTCTCCTTTGTGCATTTAATCATAAGTGTTGTAGTATAAGCCCGTCTTAGATGGGACGCATTATGGTATACTGTAGTTTGTCCATGAACACTTCCTACAATAACTCAAATTAGCTTTGACCAATCCCCACAAAATTTTAACGGAATATCAGGATTGATAGATGGAAGCTTCCTTTTGATTGTAAAACTCTTTGGTGTCGTCATTCCAGAGATGCCGTTTGATTTTAAAAATCTATGATTCTGTCATTCCACAGTTATGGGAATTTGACGGTCAGATTAACAAAAGATAATATTCTACATGACAAGCACTTGCTTGGATCAATTTTATACATTTTACACTTTTGTTGGTATTAGTGAATTTAGACTCACTTTGGAATTTGTAAATATTATGGTTAGTCTTTCCAGAAATATGGGACTTTTAACATTCATTTCTACGCAATATTTATTTTCATATGGATGTTTTCATGCATTTTTTCCACACAGCCATTTTTACTTACTTTATTAGATGCTTCCTAATTATTCCAGAGCATTCTTACGACAATTCTAATGCAAAATTCGTGGGTTTCAGGTGCCGTTTGCGTAGCTTGTTATTTTTATATATTATTTGGTTTTAAAACAAGGAATACATGCATTCTGGCAAAATTATTCAAGATCATTAGCAGTTATATGTATTTTAGGTGTTGGTGTATATGCATATACAGTCAGATGATCACTTAGAAACCTGTTCATCTTTGCCCCTTCTCTAATTTATCAACATGAATTTGACTCGACAATATATAAGCAAGCTAAACCAGTAAAGGCTATATTATTCATTGATCGGGAATCGGATCGGATCTAAAATACCCATATTATAATGTTGTCCGTATTTAATGTCTAGTCCTGTCCGGGACATATTCCCAATTCTATTTATCATTCTAGCCAATAGAATCTTTCCCACATCATATGGCAACCAATGAGAACCGATATTTGAACATTACGTAATAATTTCAAGATGGCGTGACTATCGTATGAAACAAATAGCTTCGCACCGCGATGCAAAGCAAAAATGACTTGTATGACTTCAACATTTAGTTTGTCGAACTCAGCGGTAAATGTTTCCTTTGCCTTAATGTGGGTGAAATCCAGACGATTTAGACCCCCATCTTTCAGTAAATTTTCAAACATTAATTATTCTTAAATAAGACCAAAACGGGTCCTTACCAAACTTCAAAAGTTTTACAGTTTGTTGTATGTCAACGGTTTCTGTTTTGTCTTTGTAGATATTTCAGCAATGCAGCAGCCAGTTTTCTCTCGTACATTATTTTGTTAAAAGGGTAAATCTGGCGAGCAGATCCCATAACGGTTTTTGTTTTTTTTTATTTTCAGTTAATCAACGAATCAGAAAATAAAACGTTTATGTATACCTATTGAATATTAATTACATTTGTATATTAATATTGCCCAAAAAGCCTGAGATTTTAAAACGGCAAATTGATATATGAATCAAAATGTTCTATGATTTTGATAAAACCAATTTCTAACTGTTTTAGTTTTGAACAACAGTACATTAGCTTTTTTTTCAGTATATCTTTGTTGTCTTTTCATATTTGCATGGTTCCAGTAATATACATTCAGTCTTTCTACAGTACAAATAATTTTGTTTTAATACGATGTAAGTCTTTCCTATTATCTTTAAATTTTTTGTATAATTCTTATTTTACATCTGCATATTTTACACGTTTGTACACTTTTTATGATAAACTGTATTTGTAAAAGCTGAATACAAGTTGGCATTTCTTCTTAATTGTTGAAAGTACTTACAGCTAAAAAAAAATAATCTAAATAAAAAAAATTGTGGTATAATTACGCTGTAATTTTCCTTGCAAGTACTGTACCAGAAGCAATTCGCTACAATCTAAATATGTATTGTTTTAGATTCATGTTCGTTAGTTAATATTAGATTTGCAGAAATACGCATTCTAATTTACAGAAGTTAAAATAAACCTGATTGCATGCCTACTGACACTGGTGACAATAAGCAACTTCATTAGCTTCCAATTAACGTTGACCAAGCCTAGACACAAGGAAACATTTAAACCAATAAAATGTATCAATATTCCGTGTCGACAGGATAAACTTAATACCATAAATCTGTAGTAGTTCTTATTTCAGGGACAGTTACTATCCGGTCATTAGCGAAACTATCATGCTTTATTTTAATTTGGTGGCTTCCGCCATAATCAATGACATGAGTATTTACAATGGATTAAAAGAAAATGACAAATTATTGAGCACATGTTTTTGTTTCTTTGTTCCGAGAGAATGAAGGAAATTCAAGATTTACAATATTGTATACAATAACTGTATTCTTTCCGTTTTGTTATGATAGGAGAAAGAGGAAATATGGTGTATCAAACAATCATATAGCATTTCGCAAAAAAACAAAAACAAAAACAAAAACAAAACGAAAAAAATATTATCCATCCGTCTTCAACTATATAACTGTATCAGTACAATGTTTGAAGCTCTAAAAAATCACGAGGACGACTTTTTGTTTCACTAAAAAAAGGGGGGGGGGTTGGT